CAGTCTAGAAACTCTAAGGAACAGCATTATTTATTAGTCATATTCCATCAGGTGTGGTGGATAACCCATCGATCCTGGCAACGCATACCGCAAATCAACGTTTCAGATCACAATTTCAAACTGTTGTCATAGTCCATATCACATATCTCAAGTATCAACGTAGAGAGTTTGTTCGATAAAGAAAATCAGAAATAGAAAGCGAGTATTAATGAAGGGCACCTGCCAGTTAGCATAATTCTGTAGGGGTTTCTAGAGATGGTGAAATTGTAGGTGAAGCTTGTCGCCTCATATCTGGTCTAGAATCACAAATGTCAACCTAATATCCAAGACATTCAATACGAAACACATAAAATGAGCCTTCATTTGACTTGACGACAATTTGTCTCAAACAGACTACGAAGAAAGTAGTAAGTGACTGACCGTGAGATATTTTATGAAAACCATAAAGATTGAGATCATCTGGACAAACATCAACACTTTTAAGATCACTGATTACATTATGGACCACTTCATGAAATATGGCTGGAGAACAACTTAATCCAAGTGGAAGTTAATTATATTTGGATAGACCACGAAGAGTGATAGTTGTTGTCAAATCTGATAAACGTCTATGCAGAAGAATCCGAAGAAAGACGTACTTCAAATCAGCTTCACTGCACACTTTAGAACAATGAGCTTGACTAAAAAAATATCTCCAGCATCACCTGTGGTGTGCGTTAGCTTCAACAAATGGGAATTCAACGTTGAGGAATGGATTCTCATTCATTCAAAGCACTCAACGCAATCAGCCATTAAATGTTCAATCAAAGTATCGGAAACTTCTTTGAAAGTTATTGTGGAAATAAGAACTTGAACATCATGATTAGATGTGGATTATTATCATCAAATGCTCCAATCTTATTAAGATTTAATAACAGGGTTTGGAATCATTATTAACGAAATGAACAGTAGTTTAACATACCATCATAATATGTTTATTCTTGTCACATTTCAAGCATTCAGCATCACGGAGAATGAATGACATTTGTGAATGCAGACTGCCACAGGACAAATATTTATCATGTCTGTGTTCACCTTATCCTATATTACATTGAAATTGTTTGTAGAATCCAGTAGCTATCCATACTGAGTTTGAAATAATCGATATGGAGCATGAGTATAGCAGTGATATATCAACTCTGTGATGCAGATGCAGCTAGCTAACGAGTCTCAAACGGGACGAAGTGACGCGTGTCATGGATTTCATTGCTGGCCACTAACAAACCTTGCTTTTATTTTTGTGACCATATAATAATATCGTAGCAACTCGCACATGATTTACATATAACATGAAAAGACTGAACACTTTCCAGTCCTTAACACTAACGAGAACATTCAAACGTCTGATGCAAATGCTTTTCTGTAGACTAGTTTCTCATAAATCCATGAGAATAGGACCGATGATTAGCCAAGTTTTGTTCAATAATGCGATCAATCATTGACGCAAACACTTCAATGTTTTCTTTTTTTTCACATCTCTCATCTTATTACCAGTGCCACGGCTGAACTGTTACTAGTTCATCATTCACTCTATATCTTTTTTAATACCTACTTGAGTATCAGCTAGAACCTTCAAAATTATTTCATATTCAACACATTCATAACACTTAATTAACAACAATCTGTCAACCAGCCACCACTCAACCGTGAATAGTCAAATAACGAAGGATTGAGGTGCCTTGTTAAATATTGATGCCTCATTCCGACAGTTTAGTTTAAAACAATGAACGACGTTAATTTCGATTGACGTTTCTCAGCACTGAGACTTGAACTAAATGAACATTGACAACGAACTCTTGGCTGATTTCAATTGTCACATAATCACATATACACGATACTGTTAATTGACAAGCGCATTGTTGTAACCTCTTGTTAAATTACCCATATTTTTATTGAATAAAAACAATCACGTCAATACAGAAAAGCATATTTGTTATATTCTACTAACAAAGTGACATCAGTCATTACGTAAACAATCATCAATGTGATATGCAGTTCCATGAAACAATCTTCAATGTATTGAAATGATTAACAAAATAGGAAGTGTATTTCATAAAAAACGAAAATAAAAATAACACAGTCAACTTGATGAACAAAATTGACAAACGGTTTGTGGGGACTATGGATGAACTCTCCTTCTTCTGTAGAACCATAGCCAAATGCCACGACCAATGCATATAATAAGGAAAGATATAACTACTGGTACAACGATGTACACGTATGGCAGTGATTTTCTTTCCCCAATGTCTTCAGTTGTATCTGTAGTGATGTTCTGGAATGAACGAAATAGTATAATGTTTACAAAATATCAAATATTTACCAAATGTGATTCAGTGCTTGGACTAGTCTTCTTCAATTCATTTCTGAGATCAGTTTCATTAGTTGCTGGAGATGTTAGTTCAGTGGGAACCTCAACAATCGAACTCTTCAGAAGAAATAAACAGTAAAAATATAGTTAAATATCAAATATTTCATCATTCATTAAACACCATTGTCAGTATTGATGACACAAGTGAATTCAACAATTAGTTACATAATTTGCATTTGCATTATGTAATTAATGAATAATGATTCAGGATATCTGTTACCGATTTAACAGTCAATGTGATAAGTACACACTATCCAACAACCGACTGACGGCTTTTGTTTGGGTGATGAAATTTGTTTGCTGGATGTCACATTTTATCACAATCTACACATTATTCAACAAATTCATGACTAACGGCTTTATTGAAGCAATCCATTCAGGGTACACATTTCTCAACAAGGAATGAAAAATACTTGTTCTGTACTTCAACAATGGAACTACGAACTTTCACTCATTATCCGAACATGCTACACAATTTTCAACAGATTACGCTTCATCATTCAAACTGATTTTATCTGTATTCTTCAACAGTTCGCGTAGATATGCGGTTTCACATTGATCATCAGGATTTACTACACATTCTATGAGCTAAAGAATTAACATGTTTCCAGGCATTAGTGTTAAACAACTCTTCTATTCATTGTTGAATGTCCACATGGCAACAGAGCATTGCATTCATATGTGCTTAAGTATCGTATGAGTTACTTTGATTTATGCACTGAGGGCACAATAGTAATCATCACTAATTCGTAACAATGCAAATGTTCTTCCGAAAAAATGATTGCAATTCGGAATATCGTAATACTAAGAACAATCTCTGAAGTCTACCAATTGCTTACTTTAATCTGACAACCATTTATTTCGAAGATATGAACATCCTTATCGTTTCTTGTAATGCATGTGTTAGCTTTTCCACACCAAATACACTTTGTATCTGATGTCGTTCCGCCTAGACATACTTCACTTGAATTGTAATTTGGACAATCTTCAGTGAAAAGAAGAAGGTGATTGCATTTCAAGTTATCAAACGAAATATAAATGAATTACAAAAGAAATGTAACTGTAATTCAATGATGGCGATTTCGGAGTTAAATGAGTATTTCATTCTCTGTGCATTTGTCATCACATTGCTCAATCCAAAATTCAATACACTTTCAATGTCATTCACATTTCCTGAAAACATGTTGGAATTGAATGAAATTACGTTGCATGTTGAACGATGAAACTTGTCAGGCGAATGTCACGGATGTAAATGACTGTTAATATTAGAAAAGAAATGTGCACGCTAGACGGTTGACGAATCTCATTCCTGCTTTATGATTGAAATATTTCGTGTATACCATCTTTATAAATGGCAAGTTGAGAGTAACATTGTTATTTCACTCTAACTGACTATTAATAAGCCGATGCACGAACGTCAGTTGTACTAAGGGAGAAAACTTACTCCTTCAATCTGTCGGATTTGTAGGATAAAGTATAAATTTTGGAAATTATGCTATTGTTTCCAAGGCGATGGCTTGATATCATTTAATAACTGTCTGAAATCATACATGAAATTTCCAATTTTACGAAATTAAAGTGATGCACTTTAGTGTGAAAATAGTCAACTCTGATAAAATAAGGTTTGACATACCACCGAGAACTTTATATTCCACTAGCGTTCCACTTTGTATCCAATCATGAGGAACATCTGCACTAGGCCCTTTATAATCTAATGTGATTAATTGTACGGAAGAAGACAGATTACGATTTTGGATATGACATGTTGTTTGTTTGTTTAAGAAGCTACCAAAATAAGAAACTGTTTAATATCTGATTACAGATACAATGACAAGCAAATAACATCCTTATGAAATATGTTCAACACAGCTTAAGGTTCTGAAAGTGACCGATATTCAACCACTAAATAAAAATTGATATCGTTAAATTGCTGATTTGCTTTACTGAGATGCCAGTGCAACATCTACACAAAAATTATGTTTTTCTCGTTACAAATTGTTTCACAAATCGTCAATATTGAGAGGCTGCAAGTTCACACAACTTAATTATGTTACTCGGTATATCAAGTTAGGCAAGCGTCAGATGACGTGGATCTTGACATTCTTTTCAATGGAGCTTAGCACAAAAACACAAAGCAATACCATTCCGATTTAATCACATCAACTCAAATCTGTTTTGCGATATCAACGAGGATGAAAGTTGGTGAATTGAAGATACAGATACTTTGGCATTAATTCGAAAGACAAAATATTTTCAGAATGAGTTTCGATTATGAATTTTTATTACATGTGACACTTGAATGTTGCTTCAAGATTTCTAAACACCAAATTGACGTTGAATTTTCAATAGACAGAAGCATTGGGACAGTGAGTTTGCCTAAATTATTCAGATTCTATTTCAAACAATTTTCCTCAGCATTTCAACGACACTTCCATCAATTTATTGTACAAACAAAAACAACTGAATATTGTAGACTGTAAGAAACACAGATTCGGTCACCATTATAAATTACAGAAAATCTCAACGTTGACATAGTGATGATCGTGTACAAACAGAAGACAACATCATGCTAACAGATGACTATTCATGTAAGTCAATGTAAATTAGAATGTAAATAACAATTGTTACCTTCCCCACACCGGATATCATAACCAATGCCCGATTCAACATCGCCTTTCTTAAGTCCTCTAGGAATCTGAAAAGGAGCAATGGAAGTCTGAGTCAAGACGTTTCAATACACAACCACTTATATCAAAACCAACCAAACATTGAAGTAATGTGTCGTCATTCACATTATCGTATTCAAAGACAACTAATCACACTTACAGTAAGAAATTTACTCCATCTAATTTATTAAGATATTCTGAATCACCTCAGTTTACAACTTCAGTGAAGTTAGATGAACGATCTGTTTATCATGGAATGGGGCTATACATAGTGAGATGAACATCTACGTCCGTTGGTAGAAGTGTGATTGTGAATAACTGCAATGTCGCTGAACGTGAATTTGTTGTCCTGTTGTGGAATTGTGTTTACATGCTTACTTATATCAATTACCGTTCATTTCTCAACAGAATTCATTCCGCAATTTGTTCTGATTACCTCCAAACAAACAAGACGGATTCAGTTCAACACTCATAAAATTTATCATCTCACCAGCCATTTCTAGTCATCCAACATTTATTGTATTCCAAATCAATAAAGTTCTAAATAGTGACATTCGAACAAATACAATCTGAGAAGTAATCAAGATTTTAACAACCTCCTTCACAAAATATTCAATTATGAACTTTTCTAACAACTGGTCTGTAGGAGGCTAAAAATGACCTTTCACGTACATCACTATGACATACACTCTTTACCCTAATTGGCTCAAAGGCATCAGAATTTGTTTACATATTACATCACTTTTTATTGTTCATTATTTTAAAATGTGCTAGAATAAAGTGTGTCATGAACGGATTATTACCAGTTTCACAAAGTATGTATGCACAATACAAAATGTTAGTGTTCTTTTATCCCTTTCAATATATTTCGATGTATTTGACACTACTGATATGCATGAAATAATAGAATAGTCCATTCATTTGCTCAACTTACGTTCTCATAATAGAAAGATATCTTCCCATTCGAGTGTATCAGGTGCATTACCTTGATTGTATCAACTGCAAAAAAGAAAACTACCGATATTTAAAATTTCAAAAATGAGTATCGAGCATATCATTGCTAGATGTGACACTGTATGTGCCTACACACAGGGAGATCAGATTTTAGCAGATATTTACTGGATTAACTCGAATGTTTTCTGTAGATGAATTCGTAATGAAAATGATCTCCTGAATGTCGTGCAAATGAAATAAGCACGTATCCTTCATAATGAATGTCAGATGCTTAGTTTTCATATTCAAACAATAAATCATCTAGATTCTAATTAGATCTGATAGTTGGAGTGCTATTCAAATTGATGGAATATTTCCTATATTTCAGATGATACAATCAACATGAGCTGTGGTTTGTTTGTTTATCATCCGAGTTTTAGAATTTATTTGGTTATGTAACACATTGGTATATCAGTCGATCAAATGCCTTTGACAACATTATTTGTTAAAGATGAGAAGTGAATACGCTTAATACCTATCGTTTTAACGATCTCTTAATTTGAAAGAATAAAGGTTAAGAATGATAGTATAATGAATGAATATCCAGATGAATGTGATGTATACAGAAATGATTTTCCGACGAACACATATGAACAGACTTCTCATCATGTTCCTTTGAAACCTGTCAATGAAGATGAATCTCCATTTTCGTTTATCTACAAATGAAATGTGATTATGACCTAATGTATCCAAACGTATGTTAATTATTCTTTAAGTTTCAATGAAATAGGTATCAACAATCAGTGGATTCTATGTTTATTTGGACTCTGATTTTGTAAAATGGTTACATTTTATTGCTTCCGTCATTTTTTTAAGAAGAATTCGATTACTCAAAGTGAATAGAAAACAGTTGAGTAATAACAATCAATAATGATGATGTAAAGTGTTAATAGTTCACATGTGATCAAACAATCATGAATATGGATACATACTTTTATTATCAATGTTTGTAGGACAAGACCTTCTGACAGCAAAATATTCCTCTGAAATAATGAAAGCAAAGTAAATTTGTGTTCATGTATCTGTATAATGAATATTTACCTCTTACAATAAACATGCACTTTTTAACACAAAATGTATTTGAACACAAGTTTTGACGTTCCTTTCAAGATTGAAGTGAACCAATTCAACGAAATGAGGGTCTTAATGATCTGCATTATTATTTCACCGATATGATGAACGCTTCAATCCGATCAAATGTTGGGTTTGTAAGCTTTTGGCCAAATGAAAAACCGTTAATATCTATTCCACAATAAACATACAGTATCATTTTGTGAAATTCTGTTGTCCCAATTAAACAGTATTTTCTTAACTGAACTAATTATTGCCAGGAAATATTACCCCAATGACATTAATTTCGGTAAGTGAATAAAATGAATGTCCTTCATTTTGATATTCTAGGTGTTCTAATTCGAATCAATCATGTTGTATTCGTGATTGTTAATTGATTGGATGGTTGAGGTGGTGCATCAGTGCAAACTTCATGATCAAACGATTATGATAATTAAGAATGTGTTTAATATTCAACGGTTCAACGACAGTGAATATGAGGGACTGAACTACTAAGAACCAAGTAAGTGACAGAAAGATCTGTAGGACATCAAATATAAATTGTAAGTTAATGTACTTCAATAATCCAAACTGATTTCTCACACAACATCGCTTATTGTTGCACCAGTGATCCGATTGATTCGTTCAATCAATCAAGAAGTGTCGTATTGATGAAATATCAGTTTTATGATAGTTCGAGCAGATTGAGGAGTAGATAATTTCCACCTTAGCGTTTACATCGTTTGGTTTATGATTTCTACTCAATCAATTTGTGTCTACTTTGAAGTGAGTTATTGTTTTATTCAACATTTTCACTTCACAGTAATGAGTACATGCTGCGATCACACTTTAGGGCAAGAAATCACACAAATATTATATTCACTGGGTACTGGTCAGCTCTCATAAAATAATCAAGTTAAATGCCGAATCAATTATGCAAAATAAAAATGAGGAATGAAAAGCATAAAACAAAATCTCACTGAATAATAGAACTCACTCTTATCCGAAATCTCAGTTTCACACTGAAGATCGCCGAAGATATAATTGTTAATTAGTGCGTAAGCCCCTTGTACTTCTATTTCAATTTTACCTGTAATTACCAAATGAAAACATGCAATTTGATTGATAATCTAATGTGATTGAATGAAAGACTTTGAAATTAGCTGGAGACTAGAATGAATTGCATGAACTGTAATTAGTTTGCTACAACGCATCAAACTATTTACAACTTGAACAAGGAAGAACATCGTTAGATGTTCTGAATGTTAAAAAAATGCATAAAACTGATCTATTGAAGTAATGAAAGCGATTTTGTTTCATGGAATTGAAATATGAGTAAACAAAACTCATTAAAAATTTTAATTCGAGGAAAATAATTCTCTTACCATCAACACCTACACTGAATGCGCTAACAGCAGTACCGTAAAATGTAAAGGGGAATTTCATATCTATTTTCTAGAAATATGCAAACATATGGATTAGCATCTCCGTTGCAAAATGTAGTTAACTCACCTTATCAGTAACCAATTTCTCAAAATTTTCACCAACAATTGGAGAGGGCTGATTACGGCGAATTAACTGGGAATAGTGATAATAATGAGACTGAATATTTGTAATGGAACTTGACTGATGACTTACATATTTATATGTATCACTTTGGAAAATTACTTTTCCATCATTAAGATGTTCAGATTTTTCACAAAATTCATGACAGTCAAAAAATTCCGATGTGAAGACCATGATCGAATAGATCGCTACCAACTGATCAAATGAAAATGTATAGCTGAAATAGTTCAGATGAATAGAACAATGTTATGTCATTAGATCAAATTGAAATTGATATGATACACTCATTTGTCTGAACTGTACAGTCAATACTCACATCATTTTCTTGTTTTAGGCGTAAGTAGAACGTATCGAGTTTATATAGAATTTTTTGAGTGTTTGTATGTCTCTTTCAGATTGGATGATTCAAATGGACCATTAAGATGATCAAATTTCATAAAACCAGCTAATAATTAATAACCAATCGTCATAGGAGATGAACTCATTGTTATGCAAAATTCTTACACTTATTTAAGTAATATAGCCTGATATTGATCCACAGTTGGTTGAAATTCCTGACCCCCTATTGATGAAAACTATTTTGGATAAGATTAACAATATTTTAAACCAAGTAATTAGTGCTCATATTTTGATGAACAAACATTGTGTTACTTGTAATCAACTGTGAATTAGTTGTCAACGGTACATAGATTAGATTTGATTGGTTAAAATCAAAGTAGCACACATTGCTTACGTCAGATGACTAAATTCACATTTTTATATTTAAATTTAACTTCAATAAAATGAATTCTTCCACTGGTTGAAATCACGGGCCAATTGAAGCTAGATCACCATGGAAACCTGGGAGCACTTGACGGCCGTTCCTCAGCAGTGCGCATCCACGATCCCGCCCCTCGCGACATTCGTACCCAGGACCTATCAGTCTCGTGCGCGAACGCTCAACCATTAGACCACTGAGCCGGCATCCAACGGTGTTAATGTCTAGCTTAAACCAATCCACGAAGTTGCGCCACTGTCAACGTCGTCTTCAGTGAGTTGATATCTCACAACGGACCTGGTTGAACTCCACTGGTAACGGCTTCTCACTAGAACTCCAGGAGTGTCTATTGAGGTATCAGAACGGGCTTAAAGGCAGATATTCAATGTTCCGCCGCTGAACCTGTATACGGCACGGCATTGTGTCTGCCTGTGGAATTTTTCACACCACGGAACAGTAACGATTTCGGTAGATCAGACTACGTCCATCGACTGTCTGAATTTATGCGAACATTGCCTCCGGTGTCAACTCGTATGCAACATCGACAGATCGCTCTCCCTCGTGAGTTATCTACCTTTTCACGTGATTTCACGTCACGAAAAGACCTCCAAGGTTGATCGACATGGCCACGTCGCGATCTTCAGCATTGATCGTCTCAAACCAGCACACGTCGGTGACAGTGCCCTACTTGATAACTTGATACCCAATGTTAGACCCATAAAACCTACTAGCGGGATCTCTACATCTACCTCGGATCCCACGCTAGTTACATCAAAGACCTCATTCTCACGTCCAAGGCAATAGCGCGTGTCATCTGCACCTTCTACGGACGAGACTTCAGTCTCACGTCCAGATCAGCAGACTACGCCGCCCCTGACTTCGGATAACTACGGTATAGGACTCTCTCCCTATACTACATGCATGCTACACATTTTCTCTTTTTCTTTGATTTTATTTGTATTCTAAGCCCATGCCTCCGACCATCACCCGTTTGGTACCGTCGACTCCAGTCAATTTCTCCGAGAGCTGGCCTGATCACCCACGCTCTTGTCAACGCCCTCAGTTGACGTTCTGGTTCCGAATATGTCTGGCATACGTTTGATCGCGCACTTGGTTGTTATGGTCGCTTCTGGTTTCTTTGCTCAAAGTGATTCCGTTCTACGTCTGCAGCGTTTTCTGTCCCGGACCTTTACGAAGGCAATCTTCAGATCCTGGATACAAACCAATCTGGTGTGGTAAGCTAACTCAAGCAACAAATACAGCACGTTCCTTCTGGACCTTCGGTGGCAACTCGAGGATCAACGATCGCTTCCTGTTCTGCCAACCCTTTCGTCTTACAATCGCACGTTTGCCGATCAGTCCCACGAACGAAACCACTACGTATCGAAAGTGTAAACCCGCATCATTGGGGGGAGGGGCTGTATGAAAAATTTCGAACCATGGTAGTTTGAACATTACAAGAATGAATGATGATAATAACAACACACTTTCAAGCAGTTAACCCAACCAGCTATACGAGACTGAGAATGAGGAGAAATTCATCCAAGAAAGCCGAAAAATACTATATACAATTCATAGGTACATATTCGTCAATGATCCAAACAAAGAGTTCGAAGTTGTGATCTTAACCACAACAGCTTGCCTACAGTTTCATCTTACTAATATAAACATAAGATAACACGTTATGTGTATGGAATTTCTAGACCCATCATATAAAATATCTAAGCACACGATGTATACATTTCAAAAAAGGACGTGGTATTGAACGAAATCGAGGCAAATGTAAGCTACTCAAGTTAGATCGTTCAATTAAGAACTAGATTTCAATTATGATGACGAATATTGACCTAATAAAGAGTGGAAATAGATGAAATAAAGTCATTACCAATGTAAATAGTCTATTATATACGTCATGCACAGGAGTAGCTATGTGCAATTTCATCATCCAATAACAGATTACTTGAATATTTAAAGTGAATGTAAACAAAATGTTATTTTCTAATAACTAGTGGGAGTTACAGATATTGTATAGAGAAAAAGATGAGTGACCAAGACAACTAGTCCAGTGCAGGAATATATTTATTGTTCAAAACAACCAAACATTTACTGGCGATCCATCCAGATCGTAGATTATAATCACTCCAACATGTTCATTCTGAGCTACATTCACCATCACTTTCTTCGATTTGATGACAGCAGAGATTTATACACCCACAAATTAGTAAATAAATATTTATTGATTGAATCAATCAGCTGTATTTCAAGCTAATCCTATGTTAATTCTATATGCTCTTCTCATCATCCGCTTTATGTTGCATATTTTATTATATTACTTACGTATGCTCAGTAACTAATACACTATTAGCATCTAGAGTGAAATGTGCCTCCGTTATCCAGTCTCACATTTCTGGATATTTACATGAATCTTCAATATATAATCCATTCATAATCTCTTGACTGTTGATCTTTACTTCCTGTACGTGCATTGAATACTTGTCTATTTGTAACAATCTCCGTATTTGCATGCATAGTTTCCATTTTTATTTACCGGATATCACTGTTGAGCCGACATAGCTATTGGGTTTTATAGAGGTTATTGTATGTATCCGAAGGGGTTTGATGGAGACTGTAGTAATTTCAATAGTTGAGATCACATGTCAATTGAAGCTAGACCACCATTGTATGTGTATGTAAATAATCCTGGTATAATTATCGTAGGGAAAATCCCTTCTCACATGTAAGCACCTTAGATACCTTCTGAACTAAATTGTGTAAAATGCATTGCCTATGTTGTCACTTACAATAATACCGCCTATATGTTGGATTATTAACATGACTCAGTGGTTTAGTTTGAAGCCTCAGATGAATTTAACACCATGCTGGGAAAGTAAGATATACATTGGGAAACACCATATTTTAACAAAACAGGCACGTCGTACTTTTTTGAATGAGTCAAAAAAATCATCGAGAAATACCACAGATATTCATGGAGTTTATTCAAGTATAAAATAACTGATTTGTTCATATAAAAGCCTTGAAAGAATGACTACAGTATATAGATCCTTGAAATAACAAAGCCTTTTAATTTCATCGTGGATGTATTTGTGACAAAAAGTTTGAGAACAGCTACCCAATGTTGTTGTACCAGACACAAACCGTTCGCTTTATTCAGATCCTTAGTTTGAACTGTTTACTGACATTGTAAAGAGTATTTACAATGCGGTCGCCGATAATTAAACATGATAGTCAGGGTTGATTATTTAATATCCCAATGGAGCTAAATTGCCTGGAATACTTGCTCTTTTAGGTTTTATTATTCTAGACGTGTTGGTTGGTGAACCATAGAACTAATATGAGCAATTTAGTGTCCTAGGTCAAAGATGTACTGTTGACTGTACTGAAATGTGACGACAGTGAGGTGTTTCCTTTATAAAATAGGCACCTAGAGGAATATTACCACTATAAAATAGTAAAAGAGGACTATAAAAAGTCTACCTTAAAAGTAGCACATCTCATCTTGTAATATGGATTTTCATCGATATCTAATTTCTGCAGCAAGTTGGAAAAATCTCCCGATCTCCTACATTGTACGTGTATTTCATGTAGCTAAATAAATGGTTACTCTGGTTGTCGGGGCATCAGCCTCGTGACTTCCGAAGGAATTCGGCTTTCATCATGAGGCGTCATAACTCTTCTAAATGGAGACTTTCTGACTCTCAGGGCAGAGTTTAAATTGTTTGAACAATTCTTTTATGGTTAGCGTTTTTTATCGAGTTGGTTTTCTACAGAATGGGGTCGCTAACCACATTCCCAATCCTCCTCCTTTATCCGTGTTTGGGAACGGCAGTAGCCCCAGAAGGAAACCAAGCGGAGTTGCGTCGAATTCAGTCAGACATTATAAGTACGTATTTAAGACATCCAAAACTACTCATAAAATATTCCTATAGGAATGGCGTTAAGCAGTTATTCCTTGTATTTATGCGCCAAGGTCTCCAAGAACACTTATAACTCAATTTACTTCCCAGCCACTTCGAGAAGTACCTTTCCGTAATGTGTCACAGGCCTTACGATCCCAACAGTATTGGCTGGCAAGTATACAAGAATACAAGTAAGCAAAGCAAAATGCAAAAAATACTGTCATATCTTATCCAATATATATATATATATCTTGTAAGAAAAACATACCTTACACTGACTGAAAACTGAGATAATAAATTCCATGTTTGTGTAAATATAGAGCAAACATTTTAGTGTAAGTAATTTCAGTATTATGGTAAGTTAATTGCGATCAGGATAGCTTATTGACATCTCTAACTGTGACTCTGAATGATTTGTGGGATACTGCCCGGGCGCCCAGACTGTAGTGGGTGGTTTTCTTAGAATGTCATTCCCCAAGTTTTTGACCAAGAGGTCTAATGCAAAAGACAGCGGAGCAACGTTAGGAGACACAGTCCCATGGTAGCCGGTCACCGACAATAGGTTCATATGCCATTTGTTTCCATAGGATCCTGAAGCTCATGTACTCCATTGTTTTGAGATCAGGGTTTCCCAACTCTCTCGATTTGGCCATCATATTTTGAGCAATACGTCTATTCATACAATTCACAGTCGAAATTTATTTGATTTAAAATGCCACAAATGTAGTTATATTTGTGATAAAAGGAGTCATCTTGAATCTCTTGAACACGACTAAAGAGGATGTCACCCGATTAGGAATAGTATTTTGATAGTTGTCTTACTTGTGATTAATGAATTGGATTGATTTTTAAAAAGCCGAATCAACTACAGAGGTTATTTTTTGGCATTGTCACTTAAATGTTATTCTAAAAATTTGTTCTTATTTGTGCATTATAACTTGACTAGTCGTGAATGAGACTTTTTTATCGCGTAATGTTTATTTCATACATTTCACTGACAAGTTGTGAAATAACCGTTTAGTTTATTGGTCGAAACAAGTTTTACCCGTACAGCCAATGTTGGGCTAGTTACCTTTGTGTTTGTCTATGCTGAGTTGACTGATGAAGCTGAGTTTATTAACTTGAATGTCAGTTTCGTAACCTAAAATATCTATATATTCAGAAAAACCAGGACATTTCTTGACCCTAATCAACATTGAGTAGGTTAAATCGACTAACTTGACAACTGCATTAACGACAATTTATTTTTTACAACTATTACAGATAAGAGATGTCTAAAATTCAGACTAAACCATAATTTAGTACAATAATGCAAAATATGGTCAGTGTTATCTATAGATATGACCTACTTCTTTCAGTAACATTTGCTTGAGTAAGCAGTTGATAACTAAAGAGCACAACATGGAATTCGAATTAGTAAAAAAACAAACCTTATTTCAACACATAATAGTACTACTTTAAAGATTCGATACTGTTTACAAACTGCCAGTAAATATATACAAAATTTTTTATGAAAACAAATAACAAAGTAAATAATGTCACTATTGTGATAGTCCTCGTTTACTTTCACCCTTCTTCCGTTTCCCTTTGCCACGCAATTGACGTAGACGTGCCATTTCTTCACGAAAATCTGCATGTTCATTTCTAAACAAACCCAAATAGCGTAGTTTTTGTAAAATATTACTATATTCTTCTAATGGAGGATAATAATCTTTTAAGATCATTGGGCGAGGTAATTCACTCATTATTCGAACAACTTTCATTGATTTGCTATCAACTTGTTTGCCAACATCTCTGAATATTCGTCCAGCAAGCATTGTCATCTTTTTAGCATACAATGAAGTCATCTAAAAACAATTGAAATCAAACACAAATGGGTAAGGACAATAATGGTCACTGTGTAAACCTAGAACACCGGCACAAATTTTCATGATTCAATTTGTTACACCTTAAAAGTCGTGAAAACGAAACTTAAGGCGATGTTATTCAACCTCCATATCTGTACAATACGACCATTGTGTAGATTAAAACTTGGTAATCTAGACTGGCTGACAGCCAAATTCAAAAGTTAATGAACCGACTTATTTTATTGGACTGATTTCATTCGATGCTTTGATGTATATTGTATTTCTAGAGAATTAATACCAAATCCACCGGGATTGAACAAAACAAAAAATGAAGTAAAATATTGATTCCAAAAAAAAATCAGAAACGGTCAAATATCCCAACTACAATGTTAACGACAATACTATGTGGAAAATATTTGGAGTGATCATTTGTGGCAAATATTACTTGCCATTTGCAGGTAGAATAATAGCTCCTCATTAGTAACTAAATAAACCCTGTTGTATAAGATTTCAACACTACGACACAACTTCAGTCTTCAGTAATAAGGATAGGAGGTCTGTCGACCTATACTAATCCTTGCAGTTTGTAATACTGTGGAGGTCCAATCTCGTTTTGAATATATTAACAGACGGTGCTGATATTACTTGTTCCGGTAGAGAATTCCAGTAATTCACTACTCGGTGCGAGAAACGGAACTCCAGACGTAAACGGTTTGATCTCGGTTTTTGAGCTTTCTTCGAATGTCCTCTCAAATGATCGGTTCTAGACGGAAGCAAAAGATAAGACATGTTAACCAAGGTCATCGTTCAGTATACGATAAGCCAATATTAGATCACCCCGTACTCTACGGTAAGATAACGGAAATAAGTTAAGGTGTCTCAGTCTGTCTTCATAAGATAGGCCAGCTAGACCTTGTACCATCTTAGTAGCTCGTCGTTGGACTCTTTCTAGCATATCTGCTTCATATTTGAAACAAGGACTCGCTGCTTGAATCCCGTATTCTAAATGTGGTCGCACATAAATCGGGTATAGTAATCCAAACATGTCATCATCTAAATACTGAAAAGACCTACGAATTGACCATAATACCCTATAGCCTTTTACAGCAGCAGCCTTACAGTGACTAGTCGTTTTGAGATCATTGCTTAATATAACTCCTAAGTCTTTATAGTTTCTTGCTTTGGGTAGCACGAATCCACGTAGTGTATAGTCATACGATTCATCAGAGTTATTTAACTGCATCACTACACTCTTATTAGGGTTTACTTCTAGTGACCACCTGTCTAACCATGCCACCAATGAGCTAAGATCATCTTGTAATACCATTCTATCCGACATACTATGTATGGGTCTCCAAATCTTTATGTCATCAGCGGAGTAGAACGGATGATTTTGCTACAGTTGGCAATTCATTTACATAAAGTAAAAAGAGAAGAGGACCTAGGATTGTGCCTTGGGGAACCCCACTTTTTACAGGTACCCACGAGGAGAGAGCCCCATTAACCCTTACCCTTTGTCTCCTGTCATGGAGAAAGTTACTTATCCAATCAACGACTGTGTTATGGATTCCAAAACGTTTCAGTTTGAATTTAAGACCAGAGTGTGAAACCTTATCAAAGGCTTTACTTAGATCTATGAAAATTACATCCACAGGAGCATTCCGATCCTTTGCCGCAGCCCACTCTTCTCGTGCAATGAGATTTGTCAAGCAAGATAGGCCTTTCCGAAAACCATGTTGTGCCCTGGAGAAAAGATTTTGCCCTTCGACATAGTTTATAACAGCTATCCGAATGATTTTCTCCATCAGTTTTACAACTGCATTAGTTAAGCTAACGGGTCTATAGTTACTAACTAAATCCCTACTCCCAGCCTTATACACCAAACTTATTATGGCGACTTTCCAGTCTCTAGGAAGTCTGGACTGTCTCAGAGACATATCGAATAGTATCGCTAATGGTTCAGCAATTTCATCTGATATGGCTTTCATAATCATAGGATGAATATCATCAGGACCACTGGACTTATCAGGTTTGAGATGCTGAAGTAGCCTTAAAACAGTATCTTTCTCAATGACTACAGGATCCATCAGCAAGCCGTCACAGTCGCGACGAATCGTTGGTCGTTCCTCATTACCGATAGAAAACACTTTACTAAAATATTCCGATAAAGCTTTAGCTTGTTCGGCATCATTCTCTGCTAAGATTAACGGATTGTCTCGTATCAAAAGTGATGGAATTCCATCGCTTCTCTTAGTTCGCCTTTTTATATACGAGAATAACCGTTTCAGACTATATCTAGAATCCCTAACCAATTTTTTTTCGTATGAATGTCTAGTCTTGCTTATTAACGCTTTACAGGCATTCCTAATCTTACAATAACTGGATCTGTATTGTTCTAAGACAGTAGAGATGAACATATTCCAGTGATTCTTCCTTTTTCTAAGGAGTTTCCTGACCGTTTTAGTTATCCATGGTGGACTATTATTCGGTCTTTGCGGTACCAGGTATGGTATGAAGGGGGACGTAACTAGTCTAAATTTACCTTTAAATACAGACCATGCTTCTTCAACTGATATGCTAGTATCTACTAACCAATCTGTCTTAGCAGCGCATTCCTGAATGGCTGATATGTTAGCTTCCCATACATTTGGGCGCGGTGTAACCTGATCGTATAACATGTCCCTAGTTCTAAACGCGAATGACAAAACAGCGTGATCGCTGTTTACTAACGGTGGAAGAATATTTAAGTCGACAATATCCTCAGTTTCATGAGTGATTACCAAATCCAGCAGAGAAGAACCCTGGTTAACACCAAAACGTTTGGGTTTGGATACATGCTGCACTAGTGCATGCTCCATTATTGTTATCAGTAACCTACTATCAAAGGAGTTTATAGATCCTTCTGTGGTCATATCAGTCCAACTAATATCAGGTGCGTTAAAGTCTCCTATTATCAAGCACCTGGTATTATCACTCCAAAGATGAATGTGCTCTAAAACAAAGTCATCAGCTAAGCAGATTGAACTCCGATAGATGACACCTAGCATAAATGTACTACATCCTATAGCCAACTTACAGCTAATGACTTCACAAGTGCCGCTATCATGGGATTCGCTAGTAGAGGAGCGGATATTTATGCCATTGGCTATATATAACAGGACGCCGCCTCCTTTCCTACATCTATGTCTATCACTCCTGATGCAATGGTATCCGGATAATTCTGGAGTAATGTCTAAGTCATGGACTAACCAAGTTTCTGTCACTGCTACTATGAGTGGCTTTAACCTGTCTACTAGTGCTTCTAGTTCATAGAACTTATTTCGTAAACTACGAGCGTTGGCATATATATAGCATAATATATATGGCATAATATAGCTTGTAGCCATTAATGGCTACTGTATTATTCGGTTCGTTGAGTGGTAAGAAATCTTACCAGAATTCTTACCGAATAATACAGTTACGAAATAATGTAGGGACTTCGAAGACGTGAAAGCATGTAAAGCGTGGCCAAACGGTATGTAGAACATACGGCTTCCAAATATCTGAGTCTATTTTCAATGGGTTTGGCTTCTTATGCCTTCACCTTTGTGTTAGTGTCTTAAGATACTAACATTTGGTAGACATGTAACACATAGTGTTCACTGTTCGGGCAAATGTGGTGATTACAAGTCAGTAATGTTTCACTATGAATTCCTAGTAGTTTGCAAAAGTATGGGGACTAGAGATTTTATTTACAAATATGAGTAACAATATAAAACCAGACCCCTGGGATGACCTTGTAAGTTGTAAACCCCAGAATAAAAGTATCTTCAACTTACAAGAATCAATATATGACGTCATCGAGACGAGCTTGTTCAAACAGGTTGATTTCTTTGCTCCCACCCCTTGGTATTAAGATTTGGTTCTTGTTTCCACATATCTTTCAATATGGAGGGCCTAGAAACTTGGCTGCACTTATCCTAATGAACTTACTAGTTGATTGGGAATCAATGAGTCTAGAGTATAAATGGATACGTTTGTTCTGTAGAAAGTAAGGTTTCTAGTGTCATTAACTATGTTATCATTGGGCAGGAGATCTTTTGGTTGCAACACGAGGGATTGTAAAGCTAGAATGTAGTTGAACAAAGATGGGATTGGTCCTCATGATGTAATGTCTTCTGTCTAGATAAAAAAAAGTGATGGACTGATGTTCATTGAAAGATCAGTGACAACTATTAAAAGCCGAAATGAAACCTAATGAGTTCCGCGACATAGATGCCCCCCAAATTTATTCTACTTTGCTGATTTTAGTGAGAAATGTCCGGGAGTGATGTATATTCGTCGTCAGTTTTAAACGCTTCCGTAGGACCTGGAATAAAATGTAGAACGCGTGAGCCTATAGATTATGGACGTATCAGTTAGACTGAGCACAGAAAGTTTCTGATTTTGACGAGAAATCGATTCATGTATATGGCTAAATAGCATCTTGTCACTGTAGATGACGTCAGTTCATTATGAAAACACCAACCATAATTCCTTACCTTATCCCTCACATCTATTTATAACCTTCTTTTAAACCCGGTAGGTAAGTAAATTTTATAATGATCTCTTTGGTGTCTCTGAGAGATCTTCCATAAATGATGGTCTCATCGAAACGTCAGTTTTGCACTGCAGAACGTTAGGTTATGAATGTAGGAAGCCTTCACATTTACCAAAATGTTCTTCGAAGTACATCAGAGAGCAAACAACTTGCATTCATAGCAGCCCTGGTAAGGTAAGTTTTCAGAATAAAAAACCCCAGTGTTTTATTTTTTTTGTTCACTTAATTTTTCACTTACTACTTAAACTATTTCCACAGTCACTACTGTGCACATATTATTCAAATGCAAATAAACTTCACATTATCAAGTCAGCAAACTATATTGCAGTATGTAATTACGACAGAAAGTCTTATTTGACTAGTAAAACGTTTCTCTCCTTCCAGCCTAAATGTCACGCATTTTCGCCTAACGAACTTTTCGACCCAATGAACTTCATTCACGAAACGTATACATGAAAACGACATTTCTGTGAAGCAATATAAATCACTGTCCGGAGAAAAGTCAGGCTACCATTTGTTGCGTGGATTACCAGCAGCGTGTTCTGATTGCAAACTCAATATGGATCCATATAAACCTGCTGCGGCTGGAATTACTAATCAATGCCCGATACTCATCGTGAAAGAGTATGGGCTTTCCGCCAGCACTCGCTATCTAATCCTTATACAAACAATCCTCTCCTGTTCTTTCCAGTTGCTATTCGACCTTTCCATATGTGGTTCCGATTCTCGACGTAATGTGTTCCTCGACCTTCCTCTCTTCCGTTTTCATTCAGGATACCAAATTGGCATTTGCCTCGTGATGCACTTGGGAGATTTCAGCAGTATATGTCCTAACCACGTCCAACCTTCGCCTTCTGATTTACTTGGCACGTGTTTCTTGGTAGCGGTGTTCATAGTTAATTCCAACGCGACGCCACGCTACAGTAGTTTGAACAGTGAAAAGTGATTAAAAAAAGTGAATCAGACTAAGTAGCCATACCTTGGCTATTCCTTCACCAATTACTCAACTTCGATTAGCATGAACATTGTCTGCTATGCTTCTCTCCCTCTCTTTTTCTTTCTCTTCTTTTCAGTCGCCCCCGAGATATGCCACCGAAAAAACATATGCAATAGGTGACTTCATCCCGCGTCATCATTATTGCCTCAGATGTTCCAGAGGGATATAAGGTCACGGTATCTAGAAGCTTGTAACTTAACGTGGATTTATTCTTGACCACCAGTTGGATGTCGCAACGCAACCTCTATACATCGCGCCGACCATCATATTAACAGTACGAATCTTATTAATATTATTTACATTAACATGCGAGAATTGTTGTTGTTCATATCTTCATGACCGACATACCTTATAAAATATTAAACTGTCCAAATAATCCACTACAGTGAAGACTGTAACTGCTGTAAAAACTTGATTTTGCCTGTAAACTGGCTCGCCTCATGTCACAGACTGTTATTTGAAAATTTATTATTACTATTACACGAAATAAAGTGCCCATGAAAAGCAAAGAAGTAAATAAATACTAGAACTATAATGTATTAATATTAAAAAGATGCCTTTAGTTAACTCCTAGCCACAACTTAAGTTGTTGCATCAGATTCCTCCTACAACCGACTGCCGTAAGAATATCGGTTCAACCAGCTTCATAATCAAAAGAACGTTAGTTTGATTCCAGCACCATAATGGAGAAGGAGAGACGGAGCATAAATCCCGGTATCAAGTCCCCTCAGAATTTATGTTGTGTTTCGTGAAATAATATTCTAGTTGGGCGAACCACAACTCGACGTCACTACGATCGAATTCTAAGAGTATGACGTTCGTAGTCATAACAGTGTCTATTTCTACCGGTGCAAATTTATGTTTGGATTAGGTCTGAAATGTGGTAGATGACCATCATATTAGTATATTATGAACCGGATAGATGCTTGACGTCGACTCTTAGCCAATCGATGTAAGTTGTCACGAAAAAGAAGAAAACTAAGGAACACATTGAACCTGGAACTGGGAGTAAACACCTGAAGAATAATTAGCGCTTCAAACTATTGGAAAGAATTAAACAGGACAGAATTCCAAGGAAAATTCTGGTAATCTGACTTAAAGGTATGCTACACAAATGCTCGCGGCCTATGAAATAAAATGGAGGAGCTCAGGTCAGTGGTGAATAAAGAAAAACCGGATGTGGTTGTTGTCTGAGAAACTTGGTTAACGTCAGGCGTATTAAATAATGTAATTCAGCTGACTGGTGTTTTATTCAGTAGGGCTGATAGATTAATCCCTAGGGGGGGCGGGGTTATACTGTACACTAAGGTACCCAAGAACTAACAAAACACCCGTATCATACGGGTCCTCACACCGAGTCATCAATATTTGGAACCTGCTACCCGGAGCAGTGGTGTCCGCACCTTCAATTAACTCTTTCAAGAAAAGACTGGACACTCACAGAAGCATACTAGAAAGGGAATAACATTGGCCGTAGGCCTTCTGTTCTTACTACATAAATTTGAATGTGAATCTCATAACATACCTACATTATCATTATCACATAATAATAACTACTTTCTTCTACGCTTACTACCCTCTCTGTTCCTCCTTTTATTCTCACACTTCGTTCTCCTCACACTTTGCATTACTAATTAGTCAACTTATTCAGCTGTTTCTTTTATGGTGAACCGAAGTATATAAATTCCAAAAATAATGTCAAAATTATTACGAAAGAAATGTAATTTGTTAATATGTTGAATATAAATTATACACACAAGAAAACTATACTGGACGTCAGTTAGTCAGTGACTCCGACTATAATTGCTACAATCCGAGATGTATATCAAGATAAAACATGTAATGAGGATATCATTGTTATCTGTAAACATAGACATGATATACAAACTAACTTATAATTAGCAAAAAAACTAGAACTAGTGTAGTCGGGTGTCTAGACTGCCGCCCGTTAAACGTTAAGTAAAACTTGGAACCCTACGGAAAGCATAAGAAGCTAGCCTAAAAACTGAATCAGTTTATACAAGCTCGTCACAAAGATATTAGATCAAAAGGCGGCTAGTTAAGGATTGAAGGTCAAGGTTTGTGTAAATCTATTCTTGCGAAGTGTAATGTAGTTTTTGATCCCGAAACTGAATTAGGCTTGCCACTGTTATTTTAATTATCGTTCTCCAAAAGTGTTTCCGATATTTGTATGCGGTGTTATTGAGCAAAATATTGTTTATTATATTCTATACTATTTTACTCTGACTGCAACATGTGTTTCAGTCTTGGTTATACCTTGGTTCGGTACACTTAAATGGTTCTTTTTTTCCATACCCATGTGTATTATTATTGTAATATGGTCAGTAGCTATAGACTGTAATATATGCGACAATCATTCAGATTCATGATAACAGTTGTTATAACAACAATATATATATTATCCAACAGTTAACTGCCAGATTTATCCGCAAAATAAACCCCTCCACATGACTCAATAGCACTCAGTTCATGATGAAAACACCCTAATTCCCACCCACATCTCCTAACTTTTACACCTTATCTTAATTCTTCAGACTGATCGATGACCCTATTTATTTTCGTCCTAGTTTTAAGTATTACAAGGCTGCTCTAGTGTCACCCAAAAGCCGTCCATAAATTACATGCCACTTAGACCTTAACTCTATTTTACGAAGTTTAGAACTTATGTGGCCTTTTTGTGATCAGTGTGACAAACTTCAAATGCAGAATATTGTAGCATCTTTTAAACCAAAAATCTTTGCATAAGTCATGGGCATTTTGTATTGATGCATGCAAAGTCCTTAATAATGTGTTAAGCATCCGGACTTTGTAATTAGACACTCAGTTTGTACGGATTAGTCATAATTGAAATGTCACTTAAGAGAAATTTATGTTGGTCCAACTCACTACACACTATATCAGCGAAATAACAAACACGTTTCACAGTATGAGGTTAATTCAGGTATATTTTTGATTTTCGCTTTAAGAACAAATGACTGAAAGTCTGCATTATTTCTTTTATATAGTGCTACTGTGACTGCCCGTAAGTTAAATAAGTTTGTCATAAACAAAGTTCTGAGATTTGACGAACTTAAAGCAGTCTACGCAATATAAATACAATCATGGTTTTTGTTTGTAGTCATCTAACAACAGTAGCTACTATCTTAGTAAAGCAGAAAGACTTGAACGTAATACTAAAACAAGATGGAACAGAATCTCTCGGGAGGTGTAGAAAGTAGGAATAAAACAAGTGAAATCAAACGATTAGTCAAAGATGTTACTGAATTTGGTGAAGTCTTACACAGGTTGTTGACAATGTATGCAGCAGCGTGGGCGCATTGAATTTCACTAGACTGATTCGGTTAGTGCATACAATATTACTTACCTACTTATTCCTGTTACCCCTTGTGAACAAACATAGGCTGCCCACCAGGATTCTGCATCGAGGGTAATCCTTTCCAATTGTTCCCATTTAATCATTCTTCTGATGTTTGCTTCCAGTTACGGGTTCCTTGCTCTTCCTCCTTTCCTTTTCCCTTTAGGATTCCAAGTTAGTCCGGCCAATAGACATTGTGTCTTGTGTAGACAATAGTTTGTTAACACTTACATTTTTGGTTATGGTTTTGGTAGTTCTCTGGTTTTCAGCTCCATCCAGTAAAACTATCTTGATGTTCGTATTGAAGATTCTCACTTTGATATTGGCTGACAGTCGTTTTGAGTTCCATATGTTCTTCAACCGTAGGAATGTTGTCCTTGCTTTGCCTAACCTTGCCTTAATGTATGTATCAGATCCTCTCTGTTTATCGATGATGCTGCACAGGCACGTGGAATATTCCACATCTTCCTGAAATCTCCTTATCCGTAGGCAGGCGCGTTATCCATTGCGCCACAGGCCCCTGGACTCAGCGGCTCCCTTGCTTACATTTTATTTCTTTCGCATCTTCATCAACTATCCTTCTTTCCAGCACGTGTTCTTCGTCCCAAATCCTTCTCAACAGAACGTGTAGGCTCTTTACAGTTACTGTTGTGTCTGACTTCAGTGTTTCAACTGGTATGTTTTCAGGTCCTACTGCTTTCCCACTCTTGATCTGTCTGCTGGCCATGCTGATTTCTTCGATTGTTGGTGGTGACGGCTATATTATTGTTATTCACAAACATCTTATGGGTACATAAGTTTGGTGAAGAAACCCAAAATGGTTTCTTCACAAATGCAATAATGCACAAGTTTCAATAATGTTAGCATTATATTTGCCATATTTGAAAAAGAGAATAATAATAATAGAATAATAATAAATCAGGTTATGTGTAATTGAGAAGAACATTGAATTAAGTTCAAAGAAGGAAAGGAAGTAAATAAGGAAATGGAAATAAAGGAGACGTGAAATAAGCGAACAGTTTAATACGCGTATTTATGAACGCAGAACAAGAATAAACGACCATGTATGTATCGTGAAATTAGTTCAAAAAATAAAATAAAATAGAAAATAATTAAGAAAAAACAACTCATTATTTCAGTAAGATATGACGCTAGAACAGATGTTTGTGTAGTCACAGTTTGGAGTGACGCTACATAAGTCTCAATTCAGTGAAACGGTTAATGAAATATCAATATGTATGAGTTATATATGCATAGTGAAGATAAAACGAGTCTGAGAAGTTATTTTAAGTGTAACACAAGTTGCTGTCTGTCAAAAACTTTGTAAAGTTAGGAATAATATTTATTTAGATGGAAAAAGAGAGAGAAAAGAAATGAACACCAAATGAAAGGGTTCAACCATGATAATAATAATAATTATGTAATGAATATCGACCTCTGGAGTAAACCAACAATTTAGAAAAGTAAAATAAATCCTTCACTGCACATGTAGATTTATGTAATAATATACAGAGTGAAACCGGATATTATTATAAACATTTGTGCAATAATAATTAAGAATGATGCTATGAAAGTCACAATTAATTTCAAAGGACAATCAGGGATTAAATATGTTTAGAAGGATAAGAAGAGATAAAAAGAATATCTAATATGTTGGGGGACCAATAATGACAATAATAACAGTAATAATTATAGATACGAACATAAGCAGACTTCATATATTATATTATACATATTATACACATATATACAGGAAGGTCTGTAGGTGCTGGTCCGATATCTGGTGGATTCAGTGGAATTGGTCTATTCCAGAGTTCATCGAAGTGTCTCACCCATATGTCCCTCTGTTTCCGAATTTCAGTGATTGGCTTTCTTGCTTTCTTGTCCTTGACTAGTCTCTCTGGTTTACTATATTTCCTTGTCAGTTTCTTCGTTGTGTCATATATTGTTTCATATTTCCTTCTCTTACAGCTTTTTCCATTGTCATTGCTACGTTTTTCACATATTTCTGCTTGTCGGCTCTAATGTTCTTGACGTTCATGTTAGCTTCTGTGTGTTTGGAGCGGGTCTCGACTTTCTCTGTTGTTGTTCGGCTGTTGTTAATTGCTGTCTTCTTGTTCTTCTCTTTTGAATCTTGTTTAGGGTTTCGATAGTGATCCATTCTTTATAACGATGTTTCTTGTTGCCTAGAACCTGCTAAAAGGTTGAAGTGAGTGCTGCCTCAATACCTTTTCAGTTGTCCTACATAGTAGTTTCTTCTTTGAGTAAATCTCATAAGGCTTGGAACTTGTTGTTTAGAGTTATCTTGAATTCGTTGAATTTTCCAGTATGTCGAAGGAAGGCTGTATTGAATCTTTGTATTGTCGTTTCTCCAGTTATCCATTACTTCAGCTTCCGTTTTATCTGAACCTAATATTAGTTGTCATTGTTAGATGTTTTACGACGTTTAGCTCCCCGCAATAATTTTACTCAGCACAGTCAAAAGTAACTTCATCAACCATTGATTACGAGTATTAGTGGATGATTATAGCGAAAAAGGAAAACCGGACGACAGTTCATGATTTGTGTTTCAGATTTCAGATTTTCACTTCGGGAAACGTTACATAACGGGCATGGGTTAGAGACAATTTCAAATCTATCGTATCTATTGTTAGTCCCAGTTTATTAGGAAATAATATTTTTGGTAACAAATATGGATACTTTAAAATGCAAAGTAATCTTTTAAATTAAATTGCCTCGTTCACTAGGTATTTGTGTATGAACCACATATGAAGTGTAAGGACTGGTAATACCATCCAATTGCTAAAGTCAAACTAGGCGGAGCGGGATTCGAACCTGTGTTCAGAAGTCGAACTCCTTAGCCACTAAATCACCGCTTCACAACACCTTAGAAAAAAGCCATCGTTTTAGGCTTAACTAGATATGGTTTCTACTTTAGTACTGACCAAGAACTGATATAAGAATGATAGCAGCCTTTACAACACATGAGAGTTTTCTTTTTACGATCGTTTCTCATTCATGTATATGGTCTTCAAGCATCATTATTTATTTGAAAACAAACATCGGTACAAAGGGACACCAAATATATATGCGCCACACCACTTGATCTGTTTGTAAGGCCTGTGATACTTCCCAGGCGCCCAAACCGAAACAAACAGTTCTCTTAGAGGACTACTCCCCTAGCCTTTGACCTAGAGGTATAGCCTACTAGACAGTTGAAAGACGTCAGAAGATAGGTTCTCGGTGATCAACAATAGATTTATACGCCATTTGTTCCCTCAAGATCCTGCAGATCATGTGCACCATTGGTTTAGAATGGAGGTTTTCCAACTCCTCTAGGCAGATCCTCTATATCAGATACGTTTGAGAATAGAAGCCAGTGGCGATCGTACTGTACATTTCTCTTACTTTGTTCATAAATGCAAACGTAACTCCTTTCAGTCAGTCAGTCAGTCAGCTACAACGTAGGACCAGGCACATATGTGCATCGGTCCAGGTTGCCATACCGCATCAGCACAACAAGATGAACACCGGATTCATAGCAGTGGTTAGGTCAAAGGTAGTAATATATAAGAGAAAGATTGCATATAGAGATATAGTACAAGAAGAAAGAATTGGTTCGTAGAAAGAAAGATATGAAGCGATTTTAATCTCTTAGTTTAAGGGAAGACAGGGAGTGTATACACCGACGCCATTGTGATCGATTCTGAGCCATGTCACCAAGAGTCTCCAACCATTGGTTACGAAAGTCACGCGGACCCCAACCAAGTAGTCTGCATCTACCAACATGGCTCAGACTAGAAGTTAGTGACTTCAAGCACTGATGCCACGTTTTGGTTTGGTCGCCCCTAACTTTCTTCCAACCATTTCCAACACCGGTTAGCGTTGAACGTCGTGGTAATCGGTGTTCAGGCATACGTAACACGTGGCCCAGCCATCTCAGTCGATGAAGATTCACAACCTCATCAACTGATTTACCATCATTCCCTAATACCCTTCGCCTAACCTCATTATTACTAACCTGGTGATCCCAGCAGATGCCAGCAATATCTCTGAGGCATCTGTAGTCAAATACTAATAGCTTACGAGTGTCTTCTACTCTTAATGGCCATGTTTCGCTGCCGTAAATTAAAACAGAACGGACGGCCGCGCAGTATACTCGTCCTTTTATTGATAGACGGATATCTCGCCTTCGCCATAGGTGACGCAAGTTGGCAAAAGCCAAACGAGCTTTTCGAATCCGTGCTGAGATTTCGTCAGACACCAACCTATTAGGGCTGATGAGACTTCCAAGATAAGTGAAGTTGTCAACGCGTTCGACTACTTCACTCCCTATCCTTAGTTCAGGTGTTGACGCAGACCAGTCCTGAAGCAACAACTTGCATTTAGAGGGAGAGAAGCGCATTCCAAACATCCTGGCATTGTTGCTCAGTGCTACCAGAAGACTCTGCATTTTGTCAGCGTCTTCACCAAACAGGACTATGTCATCTGCGTATTGTAAGTCGATAAGTGGACCAGGAGGTCCTTTAACTGAAAGAATTCTTTGTGGTTGTATTTTTCCTAATTGAACTGTTTCTTCCATTATTATTATTATTTCGTTCTCATTCACTAATTCTTGTTTATTGTTGTTTTTTGTTAAGTATACTCACTTTACATTCTCCATCTCCCCACAACCTCATTGTTATTGTGTAGCGTATATGTAATTGGCGTATACTTTTACCAATATTCGTGTTGAAATAATAACAATAATCAATCCTCACAAATACTACATGATGCTAATTTCTCAGTAACTTTCAACTAAACAGGCACAAATTTTCAACTATCAACTTACTGTTAATTAACCTCTAGTTATTCATTGTGTTCTTTTACCTTTATCCTTTTTTAGTATTAAAACTATGGCACGTGGTCAACAAAAAATACAAAGTCAACAAAGAAATGCTAAAAAGCAAGCTGATTTAAAAAAACCTACTATGGATTCAAAAAAAGCTGCTGCTAAAGCACTACATTATACTTGTCCTATATGTAAAACACAAGTACCTGATATTAAAACATATAAACAACATTTTGAAAATAAACATCCAAAAAATTCATTACCACAAGAATTAATTGAAGTTGTTTAAATTATTCAATCATTAAACTAAAAAAAAGATTCATTCATAGTTAACTATTTTTTAATTTTCCCTTATACATGTTGTAATAATGAATCTTTTTGTTTGTTTGTAAAATAATGTATTAAACATATAAATTTCATTGTTTTCTCATTGCTCTTGTTTTCATTCTCAAATGTTGAGTATTATGTGGTGTGGCAACTCGAACTGATGTACGTACGTACGAAGTTCTACGTTGTTACTGACTGACTGACTGATAAAAGTTACACCTGACTGACGTTCATCCTTGGGTCTTGCCGATATCTTCGTTTTGATTGTTCTTTTTTTATTATTATTATTATCGACTGACTTGTTAAAGATTGGTTCTCCTATACAAAGTGGGTTAACTTATCGATTTAGAATATGGAAGTGATAGTTCTATTTGATTAATTTACTGAAAATATAGAATCTTTTTATTGCTTAACTTACTTACTTACTTATTTACGCTTGTTACTCCTTGTGAAGGAACATTAGGCCGCTCACTAGCATTCACCATCTAACCTTGTCATGGGCAATCCTTTCCAGCTCCTTCTAGTTGTTATTCATTCTTTTCATATCTGCTTTTATTTTCTGACGTAATGTGTTCTTTGGCCTTCCTCTTTTCCGCCTTTCTTCAGGATTCCAAGTTAGGGCTTGTGTCGTGATGCAGTTAGAAGAAAGCGGAAAATGGTATCAGTCCATGAAGTTATGAACTGTTAGTTTTAGCCATTTTGTTGAATGTAGACTGGCCTAGTTGAGGTCTGCGTAATATCTAGGACTAGCGGTTACAGACTGTTGTGACTTTAAGCCCGGCTAGTTATCACGTGATTTATTCACCAATCGAGATACGACTTATTCAATTTTAGAATTGTGTTAAGCCAATGACGTTCGACCGGCATGAACAGCCTAGCGTCCTTCTTGGTTTTTTGTCCTCCTAGCATCCTGTCAGTTGAGTCCAGAACACCAGTAACAGTTTCCACTATGCGATTCATTTATTTCACACATATTTGATTTATATACTAGCCAAACAGACTATATCACATCATAAAATAGGAAATAGCATATATACATAGTCAAGCCAAGAAGTGGCTGTGAACGTAGGAGACTGTAATCAATAAACTGAATATAACTTAAGAACAATAAATCGTATCATAATAGTCTACAGGTCAAAATGAGGCTTATAATTAGATGGATATAGGTATACATAATCTAGTTACTGAACAAATATACAATAGCATTGTATATATAATATTAGTCCATTAATAGTTCTTAGAAGTTACTCGTAATTGAATCTTCACTTGGTTATAACACAGACAAGAGTGGTTTTACTAAAATCACATTCAGATATTGTAAGGAACTAGCGTTGTGTTTTCAGTAAATTGGATATACTCTAGAATCATCCAAAGAATTAAATTTTGTAACCACATATAAACCTAAACAATGAAAACATTAAATATGCTTATATCATTCAAAGAATATCAAATTTACTTAACATGACTCTATGTGTTATTGAGAAATATAAAATGGTTTGTGAAACCATCTAACTATAAGACATCGATTCCTTGTTCGAATGCTTTCTTGTAGGAATTAGTAAACCGATTGAAATCAATCGAGCATGACACCTTCGTATTTAACATTCATATCGTTATTACCATTTAGTATGACAAATACAATAAAATCTATACAAGTGATAAACTATTCAAATAGAGTTCTTTGGATAATCGTTAATCTTTAGAATGTTCAGAAATGAAATCAATAATAAAAGTGAATTAATCATGTTTTACATACATCATTTCAATGATCCACATATTTATTATTGTTTGATGGCTGTGGAACTGAGTGGAAAGCTGAAATAAACAGTAGTTGTTTTAAATCCGCAACCATGAATTCATCAGAATTTCTTATATTGTTTAACTTATATGTCTGAAATATATTATCCGACATGGACAACAGTAACAACTAGTAATAATCATACTATAGTTCCGTATAGTAGTTTTCATGATTAGTAATAATGATAACATAAAAGTATGTCCTTCGTAGTATATACCGTATCCATTGACAAACCAAACGTGAAATTAGTGAAATAAGCTGTCTTAGTAAACATCTACCATTCGCCTAGTGAATTTTGTCAGTCTAATGACTAAATTGTATGATTAGGAATACGGTTGAATGACAAATTTCACATTATGATTGCACATATCATATATTTAATAGCCAATAACTGTACAAATGAGAGTAGTATAAATAGTCTATAGATTGCTAAATTCCGTGATATGGTCTACTCCAACTACTGTGGATGGATATACACACACACACACACTTAAAATCACATCAGATTCAAACTCACGAGCTGCAGTTCTTTGAGTGTGTATGTGCATCACTATCATTCCGCCGAGAGATTTGAATATCCTGTGTTCAAGGTCCACCGAGGTCGCTGATATGTGCTGTTGGTAAATCCTATATATAAGGATGAAACACTTATTCAATGCTCCAAGTTGATTTTGTTATATTATCCATCATTATCCACAAACTACATATCTAAACACAATCGTTCTTTGTAAAGAATGCTCTCGCTTATTCAATATACTGGATATGTATATTACTAACTACCATTGATTAGTAATTTTATTGATGACCTAGTTAGTTATTTCTTCAGAAACTCTATTTCACATATTCCATTTATTCAACAACAAAAAATGTAGTTCGCCTTTTTTCCTGTTCAGTTATTTTCTTTAAAGAAAGCTTATTTAGCTTTTCTATTGTTGAACAATTTCTGTGAAGTTATTGGTTAGATAATGAATACAGACATCATCTTGATTTGACAATATAACACATGATTTATAAATTTTAAGTACAAAGTTCTTTTATAAGAGTGATAGATGCGTATGCTTTCACTTACTCTTGATATAGTGAACAGTCAAAAGGTTCGTATATTTACGTAGTTGTGTAAAGGGTTTTTGGCTGTACAACTGATGAGATCATTTCACGTATAATGAAATCCAGAGTGGTCTATGTCAGTCTGGTTGTAAAAAGTCGAATTCACAACACATCGATGAGAGCAGGTTTGAGTTATGTTTGTGAAACCTGGCCTCTTTAAGTTCAGGATGTTAGGCAACTCTTTGTGTTCTATTCATCATTTTATTTACGTGAACATATAAACTGTGCTCATCCTTCAAGACGTCGGTAGATGTGATTGATAATTAAAATAACCCATAATGTCATTGAATAAGAAAAAGAGAATTCAGCGAAGAAAATTTTTCTTTTCAACGAAATCATTTACTTAAGCTGTACATTCGTATATATAGTTATATGGAAAATGTATGTCTATAGAAGGATAGAATGAATTGTATCACACACAAAAACATGGATTCGACAATAAATAACAAATGAGGTTAACGTACTAATCAAGCGGTAAGGAAGAACAAAATTTATGGGTCAAATAATAGTCCAATTGACAGATATGAAGAAAGAAACGACAAAACAACAAATGTCATAATAATAGACTGAATAATAATCAAGAAAACTTGTAAAAGGTAATAATAATAAATGATTAGAGTTTAAAGTGCAAAATAGTAAGTTAAAAATATCGATAATAATAAAAAGGTTATACCTAGAAACATACTAATTAAGGGAATTAGGGCCAGCGAAGGATGAGAGGTTGGACAAATCGTTTCTGCACGCAAAGTTCAGGCTTTAGTTTGTGGATTGCCAATGCCTCTGCGGTGCATAAATTATTGATTCGAACCCCCTTCGATCCAGTTCCTTTGACTCTGTAAACTAGTTTAAACGAAGAGTCTTTTGGAGCGATATGTCCACAGTTGATTAAGTGCTCCTGTATCGAACTAGTGATTGTTTTTCGTTCCCCTTTCAAGAGCCAGGCCGGATAATGTTCCGAGATGCGTTTGGATAATGATCACTTTGTGCGGCCTATGTAACATTCCCCACATAAACAAATAAATTTATAGATACACATTGAAGTGGCCCAAAGCGAAAGTTTGTCCTTAACGCACCCCAGAATGTTAGGTCGGCTAGAAAAGATGATTCGAAGCTTAGCTGCGTGGAATGTTTTATTCAATGATTTCGAAATCCGTTTATTTAGGATTTCAGCAGTTGTATCTCCCTTAAATTCCATATTCATAAATAGCGTTTTTTTCTCTACTGTCAATGCTTTGTCATGAGGTCTAGGTGCCAAGTTTCTATCGATGAATCTCGGTGGATAACCATTTTTGATGAGGGTCTGCCGAAGATAAAATAGTTCCCCATCTATTGTGTCATTGGAACAAATTCGCCTGATCCTTGAGGATAAAGAATGAATTAAGTTCCTTTTTCTACTTAATAAAACCCAACTGTGGAAGTTCGTGTATTGTCCATTCCAAGTGGGTTTTCTATATATCGATCTCTGTAATAAACCGTCAGGCATTCTTTTTAAATGGATATCAAGAAAATGAAATTCTTGGTTTGTCTCTGCTTCTAAGGTGAATTGGATTGATGGGTGACAGCTATTGAAAATATTCAAAATATCATTGAGGTCAACGTCTTCTTCGCAAATAATGAAAGTGTCATCCATATATCTTTTATATAAATGAAATCTTTCAATTATTGGTCGAAGTACCGAATTTTCTAGGTTCGCCATAAAACAATCAGCCAGGAGAGGACCCAATGGAGAGCCCACTGCAACTCCATCTATTTGTTTATAGAAAATATCATTAAATCTAAATTGCACGTTGAGCGTACATCTTAGAAGTAGTTCTTTAGGGTATTGTTTCGGGATACGCATATCAAGATTATTGTTTTCAATATAGTCACATAAAAAGCAAATGGTCTCTGTGAGGGGAACATTTGTGAAAAGAGAAGTGACGTCTAATGAGAACATTTTCTTACCGAATACATTGATATTTCTAATGGAGTCGACAAAGTCAAAGGAATCAAGAGAATTGTATTTGTTGATATGATTTTTAACAGGTTGTAGAATGTTAACTAACCATTTAGCGATC